GGGTTTTTTCAAAGAAGATTTTTAAGTTTTTGCTATGTATATAAGGAAAATCAATGACCCCCGGGGCGGGGCCAGTTTTGACCCCAGGGCTTTTATTTGAACATACTTGGTAGACACCCATTAGAACATGTCTCATGCTAAATATCTTATACCCCGGTCACATATTCACGGAATACGCCCACGGAAGAGCCACGGATTAATTCCGGCATCGTCCGTAGCTACCCGTACTGGTCTGTAGCTCTCCGTATTGTAACCGTAATCAATCGTAGTAGTCCTTGTATATCCGTAGCGATCCTTGACAATTTTTGAACATGCACAAAAATTTGCTACGGAAAAATCAACCGTAGCGTATCCCTACTAGTCGCTGTCGCTGATTCGTGTCGCTCCGTACCAAACCGTGTCGGTCCGTAACAATCCGTGTCTCTCCCGGGGCTTTTGGTGGTAAATCCGTCGAACTCCGTCCTCATACCGCTGTGTGTCCGTATTGGAACCGTAGCGGACTACGGAATTTCACATTTCCGTAGTAATCCGTGAACGATTAGACCGTAGCTCTTCCGTGGCATTATCCGTGAATATGTGACCGGGGCATTAGCTCTAGCTCTTTGGGTTCTTTAAAAGAAGATTTTATAAGTTTTTACTATATGCATATAAGGAAAATCAATGACCCCTGGGGAGGGGCCAATTTGGACCCCAGGGGTTTTATTTGAACAAACTTGGTAGACATTCACTAGAAGATGTTTCATGCCAAATATATAAGCTTTAGCTCTTACAGTTCTTTAAAAGAAGATTTTTTAAGTTTTTACTATATGCATATAGGGAAAATCAATGACCCCCTGGGGCGGGGCCAATTTTGACCCCAGGGCTTTTATTTGAACAAACTTGGTAGACATTTACTAGAAGATGTTTTATGCCAAATATCTAAGCTCTAGCTCTTACGGTTCTTTAAAAGAAGATTTTTTAAGTTTAAACTATATGCATATAGGGAAAATCAATGACCCCCAGGGCGGGGCCAATTTTGACCCCAGGGCTTTTATTTGAACAAACTTGGTAGACATTCACTAGAAGATGTTTCATGCCAAATATCTAAGCTCTAGCTCTTTGGGTTCTTTAAAAGAAGATTTTTTAAGTTTTTACTTTATGCATATAGGGAAAATCAATGACCCCCTGGGGCGGGGCCAATTTTGACCCCAGGGCTTTTATTTGAACAAACTTGGTAGACATTCACTAGAAGATGTTTCATGCCAAATATCTAAGCTCTAGCTCTTACAGTTCTTTAAAGGAAGATTTTTTAAGTGTTTACTATATGCATATAGGGAAAATCAATGACCCCCGGGGCGGGGCCAATTTTGACCCCAGGGCTTTTATTTGAACAAACTTGGTAGACACTCACTAGAAGATGTTCCATGCCAAAAATCTTAGCTCTAGCTCTTACAGTTCTTTAAAAGAAGATCTTTTAAGTTTTTACTATATGCATATAGGGAAAATCAATGACCCCCCGGGGGCGGGGCCAATTTTGACCCCAGGGCTTTTATTTGAACAAACTTGGTAGACACTCATTAGAAGATGTTTCATGCCAAATATCTAAGCTCTAGCTCTTAGGGTTGTTTAAAAGAAGATATTTAAAGATTTTTCTTTCGGTTGCCATGGCAACCAGAGTTCTGCATGGAATTAAATTCTTTGAACAATTTTTAAAGGTGACCACCAAAGGAACATTCCTGTGAAGTTTGGATGAAATTGGCTCAGTAGTTTATGAGGAGATGTCATTTAAAGCAAAAGTTTACGGACGGACGACGGACGGACGGACCGACGGACGCCGGACGAAAAGCGATCACAAAAGCTCACCCTGTCACTTTGTGACAGGTGAGCTAAAAATATGACCATAAATGAAAAGCATTTAAACGCTTTTCACAACAAATCGAGCTAAGAAAAGCATAAAAATACGATTTTCAATTTATTTCGAAGTATATATCTTGACTATCATGCATATATTTCAGTTTAAAGTACCCCAGGTTATTTATGTATGACAATTCAAATTTTATGTTCTTAGGCTTTTAAACCTCCATCACAAGTTTGAAGTTCGCTGTTATTAAGTCATTGACTGGACACAGTTTTGTTTTCAGACTGCTTAACAGAAGAACCAACTGGCAACCGACAAATGTGATGCAATTAGTCACTTAGTGCAATATATCCCCATTTCTACTAAGGGGGCATAACTATGTTAATTTACATAATTATACAGTATATTAAGCTGTCCATCATAAAGATATTTGTAAAGTCTTACCAAGACAATGGGAAGTTTTTCAAATACAAATCTACAAATTGATCTATCATCACACAATGCTCCATGTAAATGTCATGGGAGATTCTGCACAACAAAGAATAGGAAATTTTGATCCATTAGGCCACTGAAATGAGAAATAACACATATTGTTAAATGTATATTATAATATATTTATGTGATGAACTGATTTCCATGAAACATAAAATATAACAGGCGGCAGAATACTGATGTGTAGATTTAACTGTGACATCATGACTAAAACTCTTGCATACTTGAATAAATGTTTTATGTTTTCTGGTAAATAAGTATCAAAATACCTTTGTTATTAAATAAGGCGGACATATTTGAAACAATGAACAAAAGGCATGGCAACCAGAGCATGGCAACTGAAAAAAAAACCTTAAAAATTGTCTTTTACCATCTAAAATTTTTCTATTACCATCTCATGTCTTCAGGTTTGGGTACATGATGGTGAATGGTGAACAAGCCTGAAAAGTTTCAAAGCCATATGTCAATGGACTTTGAAAATATTTGAGGTGGAATGCAAACTTTAACATATATTCTAAGTCGAAAAAGGGGCATAATTCTGCCAAAATGCTTGATAGAGCTACCTCCTCCTGTCTGCAGGTTAGGGTCATGATAGTGAATAAGTGTGCAAAGTAACAAAGCCATATGTCAATGGACTTTGAAAATATTTGAGGTGCTACTCAAACTTAAGCATAAATTCTAAGTAAAAAAGGGACATAATTCTGTCAAAATGCTTAATAGAGTTGCCTCCTCCTGTCTACATGTTGGGGGCATGATGGTGAATAAGTGTGCAAAGTAACAAAGCCATATGTCAATGGACTTTGAAAATATTGAGGTGGTAACTCAAACTTATTAATAATTAAGCATAAATTCTAAGTAAAAAAGGGACATAATTCTGTCAAAATGCTTGATAGAGTTACCTCCTCCTGTCTACATGTTTGGGGCATGATTGTGAATAAATGTGCAAAGTAACAAAGCCATATGTCAATGGACTTTCAGTTTGAAAATATTTGAGGTAATATGCAAACTTAAGCATAAATTCTAAGTAAAAAAGGGACATAATTCTGTCAAAATGCTTAAAAGAGTTACCTCCTCCTGTCTACATGTTGGGGGCATGATGGTGAATAAGTGTGCAAAGTAACAAAGCCATATGTCAATGGACTTTGAAAATATTGAGGTGGTAACTCAAACTTATTAATAATTAAGCATAAATTCTAAGTAAAAAAGGGACATTATTCTGTCAAAATGCTTAATAAAGTTACCTCCTCCTGTCTACATGTTTGGGGCATGATGGTGAATAAGTGTGCAAAGTAACAAAGCCATAAGTCAATGGACTTTGAAAATATTTTAGGTGGTGCGCAAACTTAAGCATAAATTCTAAGTCAAGGGACATAATTCTGTTAAAATGCTTAATATAGTTACCTCCACCTGTCTACAGATTGGGGGGGGGGGGGGTCATGATGGTGAATAAGTGTGCAAAATAACACAGCCATATGTCAATGGACTTTGAAAATATTTTAGATGGTAGCTATTTAACAATTGTTCATATATTCATGTGTCTTTATTAACTAAGTTTTATTCTAACTATAGATCTACTAGTAAAATAAAAAAATTATGGAAAAATGTTAAAAAGTGGATTTTTTTTATTATAATAATTATAAAGTGTTTTTATTTAATTTAAATAAAATATCTTATTATATAATTCAATAAGAATAATCTATTTCAATACTTAGGTGTGTAAAATGAAATAAAATAAAAAAAAATAAAAAAATCAATATAAAATCTCTTACCTGTAAAATATTTTCCAAATCCTTATTCCAAGTTATCCATTAAGTTCATATAATAAAATTCCTTGAATTATTTCTCCTCTTAAAATGTTTTTATTTATTTATTTATAAACAACTGTCACTTAATTAAACTTTAAACTGAAATAAATGTTTGTAAATTAAATGACCAAACTATACAGTACATGTATAACATAGAAGAAACCGCCATTTTGTTTTTTAAGTGTCCATTTTTAAATTGTTTTCATTTAAATTTATTGAAGATATTTCATCAGTTTATCTAACAATGTTTTTCCTTTGTTTATTTTTTACTTGGTTTTATTGTTTTGAACTCAATCACCCGTCCCCGCCAGTCGTCGTCGTCTTTTATCACATGAAAAGTTTTTGAACTCCGAATATTTTCTCTAACACGGTCATATTCTGTGTACGGTGTAATGGCGTCCATCTTTACTGTAACTGACTGCGGCAGATTTTCCAGCACGGAAATAAAGTTCTGTAAACTTTCTGCAGACATTTCTATCTTCCACAACTTCACACGTTCAATATTCAACATGTCACGTGACAGTAACAATAAACTTTCATCATCTAGATTGATGTACGACAACGTAACATTAACTAATGACGGTGTTGTTATATTTAATTGTAGTATCCCAGGTAACTTCTCCAAGTATAACTTTGATAGAGTTGAATGTTGAGACAAGTCCAAGTTACATCTCTTACAATCATAGAGGCTGTACTTGTGTTCTTTACAGTATAACACCTCCAATGTTAACTCTTTCATTGATTTTTGAGCGGAGATAAAATTGTAAAATGTTTCCAGTATTTTGTGAGATATCGTGAAGTCTCTAATATATAAATATTGTAAGTTTTGTACTCGCGCTAAATTTTCACTCAGATTGTCTTCATCATTTATCCATGTACCCCCGACAAAAGTAACGTACTGTAAACTGGGAAACAAGATCGGCTTATCTCAGCCTCCTTCTCCCTGCTGTAACCCTCATAGTAAAGTTTCTGTATATGACTGAGATCTGTGAGAGAGAATAAATCTATAATTTCACGTAAACTGCTGGAAGGAAACAACATGTTTATATAAAGTGATTTTATGTTGGTTTTATTTTGTTTTAATAAACGTTGTAACAGCTTACTGTGCTTGGTGTCGTAGTCAATGAAGAAATCTTGTAAACATAATTGAATATTTTCACTTTCAGGCATTTCTTGTAAACACGACATGAACATTTCCTGTATGTTATATAATGGGTTCATGTACCTGTCCTCGTAACCTGTCCTAGTTCTATAGTCGCGTGTTTCCTCGTCTTCATTTATCATAGACATCCAATCATTTGATATTTCACACATCCAGTCAGCATTCATTCCACTTATAAATTCACACATTTTTGACATGTCCAGAATATCTTGAACAGTTCTACATTTTTCTACAACAGTTTTCTGAGCGTCACTTAGAGAACTTATAAATATGGCGGCAAAGAATTCTTGCACTGTTTTGTGAGAAAACGATACTTTAATAATTTCTTTAATTAAAGTTTTACTTCTACTTTCTGACAGTATTCCTGAGAGAAGACTTAATTTCATGTCGTCTGCTTTGAGATATATATCAGCAACCGTTCTATCAAATACCAGCGTGTTTTCTCTGTTTTCATTAAATAATGTTTGGTAAGCTAGTTCTGCTAATGATGTTATAAGACTGTAAAACTTTTTACAAAATTCACGACTTTTGAAGTATTCTGGAATTACACTGGCAGACGATTCACGAGATGGTTGAACTTCCGGGTGTTTCTTTGACGTTCTTGATAATAGAAATTCAATGATATTGGTGTAAATTTCATGTTTTGAATTTCCTATAGGAATGTTGTTGCACCATAGGCAAACTATATACATGAGGAGGAGTGGAATCACTTGCATGTGCTCTAGGTGACGGTCACGTATCACTTTATTAAAGTCCCGTCTTTTACTCTCCAGTACTCTATCGTCACGGACACCGGTCATTTTTCTTATAGCATTTTCTTCAAGTTGCCGCGTAGAATCTGCACTTAATTGAACCAATTCTACTTTTTTGTTTATTTGACTTGTTTTGAGATTTGCGACTCCGAGCTTCCACGGTCGAGTTGTCGTTAGAATAACACAATTATCACGTACGTACCGATGTGGGATTTTTTCTGTTATTTCGCTACAGCTATTATCAGGGTGACTCCATTCATCAAGACCGTCCAAAATAATCAAGCATTTTTCTCTACGTAACACTTCACGTATTGTTGCAGAAGTAGGAAGTTTCCTCGTAATTTGCTGTTCAATCATTTCGTCAATGTTGCAAACTGAGGTACAGTCTCTTAATAAAACCAAAAATAAGAACTTGAAGTCAAATAACGTTTTTAACTCGTCGTCTTTAAAGCTGGCGTAGTTTTCATCACGACAATGAGCTTGACACCACGTGACTGCAATATATTTTGAGAAAGCAGTTTTTCCAAAGCCTGCATCAGCTGATAGATAAATTTCTTGTTGATCTCGACTTCCGGTTAAAAACAGATCTTTCAAAGACTTTATCGGTGTTCTCTCCTCTTCATGACAAGTTAGGGACTTCTTTTTTACAGTGACTATATCTGGCATGACGTAGAACCCAGCTAGATGTGTCTCTATTTCTTCAAGAAGCGGTGACAGAGGTATTGAACTACACCTTTTTCTGTAGAATTTTATCAGGTCGCCTTGAAGTTCTGAAAATAGAGTAGAAAAAAGTGTTAATCAGTGACAATTCTTCTGTATAATATATGAAATGTTGAGGTGTTTACTAACATCAATTTTGCATGGTTAGGAACAAATAATGCATAATGACAAATAAGAAGTATAATACTATATTCAGATGCTATGTTTAACATTAACAATGCATAATTATAGCTAAACTTTGTTTTAATAATTGCATAAATTCATATGCAAAAACGAAGTATTTCCATCGTTATAATTAATACATTGTATGCTTGAAAGTAAGCATTTCCTTCTTCATTCTGAACCCGAAGAATTGGTGGGGGAGGGTCAAGCTAAAGAAGAAAATATTTCTTCTATAGTTCATTGAATGGACAAACACCAAGAACGATATATGTTTAACATGTTTGAACCGTTTTAAAATGATATTTTTACATTAAAAATATGAAAACAAATCTTGATCAAATGATATATTTGCATTGAAAATATGAAAACAAATAGTTATCACGGAGGGGAAATAAGAAGGGGGGGGGAGTTTTACTCGAACAGGAAGTAATTCCTCCTGATTTCTCCATCATTTTAATTTTGCCTTATCGGAATTCCTCGGCTATTATTCATAATCAGACTTAATACGGACTACAGTATTGTTTGATTTTATTAACCTGACGATAGCATACTTATGAGACTGATTATACGGTCAAAGCACACAATATATAGATATACTGTAGATTTTCGGCAAAGCACCTTATAACATGTGATTACATATGTTTCTGTAATATACATGTAGTTATACTGAGCGTCTTAACGCAATAAGGAGTACCACTAACGTTAGCTGGTTAGTTCTACAGTTTTGTAAACACTTGGTCATTTCTATTAAGAAATACTTAAAAAATAAAGAAAGAAACGAAACTATGACAACAGTTATCCTCTGACCACTAACCACTCGTATACCAGGAAATCACTTAACAGGATGTGATAACGACTTATATACTGTGACTTTTCGAAACATTATTTATATTTTCCATTTTAATTATCGTTAACTACATGGATATAACCGAAGTTGGATCGAATATTCAAGTTAATCTTATAAAATGTATTCATATTTGACAGGTCAATAAAATCAGACTGTAAAAGTATTTCTACCACGTGATTTTATATGTAAAACACAGAGTGTAATCTTTGATAAAGAATACGATGTCAATATTTGACATTCAAAAAAGTCTGTTTCGGTACAATTTTGATAATCAAATTATATAAACATACTGGACCCTATGTCAACAGGTTGGCATTTTGCACTTTCGATTTCTTAAACCATAAGCTTAATAATGCATTGTTTACTTTTATATCTATGAATTTACTTAATTTCGGTAGACTTATACTCGATATTTTGGGAGAAGAAAAAACTTAGTCATCAACTCCCAGCATTGAATTGCTATTTACATGGTTAGTTACTTGCTAGGTTAGACCAAAATACCATATACATACTATTCAAGAATGATAGATGTTGTGTTTTAAAGTAGGCAAATATTCAATTACCCATTTAAATGGCCAAACACAATCAAATCTTCTCGGTCCTTTCCACCAAACTTTGGATCAGGACATTGGACACAATTGACTATTGTATCAGAGGGACATTAAAATGTTTTTTTGAATAATTGTCTACTTTGAAACACATCATCTATCGAGTCACCGTACCTGTGCTCGACCAGCCCATTGCTCGACCAATACTTTTATTTGCGTACGATTTATGCGTTATTTAAGTGAGAAAAAAAAAACGCTCGGAGATCATGTGTGCTATTTATACATAACCTGTAACCTCTACACTCAAAGTTTGGTAGAACTTGGCAATTTTGCAGACGATAATAAACAGTACAAAAATATATGTCTATAATAAAAGTTGCAGTAAAAACTATTTAAAGGACTAACATAATGATAATTTAGGGCAAATTTGGACAATGCTTTGTTAAATTTCCTTTACTCATTGAGTTCCATGGGAAAGGGCCCCACAAATCATCAAATATAAGGCAATGGCTATGAACATGTTAACACATATGGCAGCTGTCCGGTTACAAATAGGGAACACACCACTGAAAGGGCCTCCGTGGCCGAGTGGTTAAGGTCGCTGACTTGAGATCACAGGTCCCTCACCGCTGTAGGTTCGATCCTCACTCGGGTCGAATTCTTTCATGTGAGGAAGCCATCCAGCTGGCTTACGGAAGGTCGGTGGTTCTACCCAGGTGCCGCGCTCGTGCCTGAAATAATGCCCGGAGGGGCACCTGGGGTCTTCCTCCACCAATAAAGCTGGAAAACAATCAACGAAAAAATCTCGGCGGGACGCTCTAGGATGGCCCGACTTGAGTGTACGGTCGCCCATATGGGTTTCCGGCGGCGACCTTAAATAAACGCATTTAAAAAAAAAGGGCAGACCAACTGTATATTACATCAAGTATCACACTTTACTATGTTTGCAGTGATAAGTAATCTCACCCCCCCCCCCCAGTGAAAAAAAGCCTCTGTAAAACACTTTATTTGTCAATGTCTAACATTAATTTTCCTTCCTATCATATTTATCTCATATCTATATCCATACACACTAAAACAGAAATGTTCCAAAATATTTTTGAAATAAAATTGTTAAACACAAAAAGTCATATCTGTTTTTCAAAAATAAAAGTTCTGATAAAAATAAAACCACCTGGTCGAGCACTGGTTACGTTGCTTGAAAAATATAGTGGTTTTAGGCCCTATGTACAACTCCGTGGTAAATGATATCCTGATCTGTGTCATTGTGAGGGCAATCACCTGGATTAGATCCCTATGTTTTTTTCAGGTTTTTACCAGATTGATAAAAAAACATGTGTTCATCTTAAAAGTGTCCAAAAAAAAAAGTAAATAATGACCCCCTTTGAAAATATAATATACGTTAACTTATATTATATTTTTAAAGGGGGTCATTATTTACATTTTTTGTTGTTTTTTTTGTGCCTGTGGGTTTAGACCCCGGGGTCTAATCCAGGATATAGCCATTATGAGTTTTAAAGGCCCAGCTTTGTAACAAAAAAAAGTTTTCGAGCAATATTTTTGTTTTGAAAGAGTTTTTTCTGGATTTTGTGAAATACTGGTTGAGCACTGGTCCGGTGACTCTAACCTGTTTCATGTTTATCTTCATTATCTGATATTTTACATTTTTCATGGATAATATTAAATGTTTAAATGTAAAAATATGAAATGTTAAATAACTTTTTTCACGGCTATAAATTATGAAACTCAAGTCATCTGAATCTCACTAGACTTTGGTTTTTCAGCGTATAACTCAGCTTTCAAATATAAATGAGTGGTAAATATCTAATCAAAACCGTTAATAACAGTGGACTATAATTATACATGTATAACATCATAAGTCACCAATAATTTGACATAAAATAAAACAATAAATTGTCGTCTGCTTTCACTTCCGTGACAAAATAACATAATTATTGTAAAGACATTTTTTAAAACAGTCAAAACATAGAATAAATAAAGTTTCAGTAAATCAAAATCTTACCATTTCTATCACTACTTATAAAGAATTCGCATCAAAAACAAACAAAAAGGAAAAATGTTTAAAAATGTTCCATCACTGGTGAATATGCGCGGACAACTGAAACGAACATTATATATCTATAAATAGAAATTTATTACTTTTTGACAAGCATAGCCAACTAGGGGAGGAGCCAGGATTTTAGGTAAGACAGTGCATACTATCATGGGTGAGGAACGGTTACACGAAGGATGGAGTTATTATGATAACTTGTCACGCAGTTCATGGAAACATAACAGATCTTCGGAAAACTTTATTGTGAAAAATTGAAATATAGTTAAATGGGGAGTTCAAGTGTTAAATTAAACTTTGATGATTAAGCTTGCCTTTCAAATTTGTATTTTATTTCAGAAAAAAACAAACTTAAAAATGTCCATTTGTCATCGCCTCTTGTTTAAAATCTGGTAGTTTTGTGTAAAAATTTCAAATTACTTGCTCACTCGAACATACTGACCTTTTTATTTATGATCTTCTTATCTAATTATAATGTAAAGTTGCAAATGTAATGCCCAGTCTAATAGATTTATACCCGATTTTCCAAATGTCACGGAGTTCTTGCGATAACTCTGAAAATGTCCTAGAGTTCTTATGATAACTTTTGTTACTGCCAGTGTGTTTCAAGATTGTGCTATGTTACGGCACGTTTTAAGCGTATTTCATTATTCAATAAGTGGTAAATCATTATGAAGCGTAAAGTACGTAGTACGCTTATCATTTTCACACAAATTTGGTTATATAATGTTGGTTTTGGTTGTTCAAGAGAGTTTTTCTTATCTCCGTTTCTTGTGGTTTTTTCTTCTCAATTTATATAACTTTTTACTAACGCATGTTTTGTAGACTGAAAAAGGCTAAATATAGACCATTAACATACAGGATAAAATATGCTTTGAATTCAATACTTAAGCATGATGTCTTCATGTATACATTATTCCTGGCAGTTTAAGAGAACATTAAGTAACAATATGTTATTGGTCTGCCGAAACAAAATACATGTTAATGGTTTGCAGCAAAATATGAAGTAGTATGCACTAACTTTATCTACATTTAATGAGGTTGGGGTCATCTTCAGGTATTCAACTGATATTTTGATTTCTGAAAGGTATTAATTTTTGCCATATAGACGTAGAAAAAATATGAGAACGATATAACAGTTTTCGTGCACTGCAGTTATTGTCGTGAGAGTAATTGATAAAAAAACATGAATTATATATCACTTGAAGGTGAAATATGTCTCAAATAAGAAAACAAAAGAAAAAGCCGTGTAACCGGCGTTTTGTGTAGTGACGACTCATACAGTTACTTAAGTAACGTAAAACCGGCGCACGACAAAAAAAAAGGGTTAGTTCATTACTTTGATGCATCACAGTATCCTTTAAACACTACATATAAGGGAAAAGTGTGTACACGTACGTATTCCTGACGTCACTAGAAAATATGACGTCATTCGCCCTATTGTAACGTTTTTGTGTTGTCGTTAAAGAGTTGATAAATTGGTATTTGGGCCTCGTATTTTTTGTAATCATTTTTTTAAATCAATAAATCTATTAAATGGCGCCGTAACTTTATATAAAGAAGTGTTCATAATTAAGTTTGGTACACAACTTGTACTCTGTCCTATGATTATATTTTTCTACACATCAAAGGACAGCTAAAGGGAACTTAATGATCTTCTGAATAATTTGTACAATTCCTTGTTAAGAACAAACATTTTATATTGATGTTATATCCTTTTAACTCCAACTTTTTCTCGTTAAACACTTTAGCATTACATATTTTCATTTATTGGAAGGTCATTTGAGCCGTGCCATGACAAAACCAACATAATGGGTGTGCGACCAGCATGGATCCAGACGGATGCGCAGGCTGGATTCGATCCATATGGAACGCCTGGACTGTCTTATGTGTAGAATGACTGATATACATGGTTAAATGTGATTCTGTTGAGTCCGAGATACAATATGCTGGGTCAAAATCCCAATATACTGGGTGGAAATCCAAATGCGCTCAGTTATTGAAGTGTAATGTTGTGTGCTGACTGTATTTTATTCAGTCAAGTCAATGTATTGTCGGGTGCATAAGTCGTTATGTTCAGTTCTTAAAACAAACAGGCATGTGGTAATACAATTATGTTGAGTTAAAAAGATATGTTGTAGGGTATGACAGTTGTTATGTTCGGTTGAAATAGCTCTTCTCATCATGTTCAACCATGAAAATAAACTGTTAAGTGGTACTATCATTTCGTTTGGCTGAGGCAGTGTATTATTGGGTGATCCTTTTATCATTTTCAGTTGAAGTGACATGCTGTTGGGTGCTTTATTCAGACTGTTCAGTCGTAAAATAGAACTGTTGAATAGTACTATCATTATGTTCAGTTCAGATAATATACTGTTCGGTGCAGAAGTCATTATGTTCAGTAGTGAACACAAAATGTTGTGTGATACCGTTATTATGTTCAGTTCAGATGATATACTGTTCGGTGCAGAAGTCATTATGTTCAGTTCAGATGATGTACTGTTCGGTGCAGAGGTCATTATGTTCAGTTCAGATGATATACTGTTCGGTGCGGAAGTCATTATGTTCAGTAGTGAACACAAACTGTTGTGTGATACCGTCATTATGTTCAGTTCAGATGATATTCTGTTCGGTGCAGAAGTCATTATGGTCAGTAGTGAACACAAACTGTGGTGTGATACCGTCATTATGTTCAGTTCAGATGATATTCTGTTCGGTGCAGAAGTCATTATGGTCAGTAGTGAACACAAACTGTGGTGTGATACCGTCATTATGTTCTGTTCAGATGATATCCTGTTTGGTGCAGAGGTCATTATGTTCAGTAGTGAACACAAACTGTGGTGTGATACCGTCATTATGTTCAGTTCAGATGATATTCTGTTCGGTGCTGAAGTCATTATGTTCAGTAGTGAACACACACTGTGGTGTGATACCGTCATTATGTTCAGTTCAGATGATATACTGTTCGGTGCACAAGTCATTTGATATGCGCTGAGTGGTCATACAATTATGTTGGGTTCATTCGGATTTCTTCGCGTCAAACAAGATGGCGGGCGGGAGCAACTAATTTCCATAGGTCACGTCGAGGCTAATGACCACTAAATTGCCAAAACAATTACCTATTTGAGTCACACATGGCCACAGTATAAAGAACGTTAAATATAAGTATGGAACCCCCATTTAAGACACACATGACCACAGTAAATGGAACATTATATATAAGTAAGTGTGGCCTAATAAAGTCAAACATGGCCAAAGTATAAAGAAAATTCTTTATAAGTAAGTGAAACCTAATTGAGTCACATATGGCCACAATATAATAGACATAATGTTTAAGTCAGGGAAATGTATTTGAGTCTAATTTTATTAGGCTACCCTTACTTATATATAATGTTCCATATACCTCTTCCGCTTATGACCAGTGACTCAAAACACAGGATATTACCTTACCTAAACCTACCTACGTTCACAACCTATAACTTTTAAGAGACACAAACTATGCTGACCCTTCACCATTAGGCTACATTCCTTACCCACTACCACCTTATATCAGCACACAATTGTTCTTCATACATAGACTCGCCACAACGGCTAGTACGTGACTATTATTCAGCACCGCCTACCCACCCATTAACATATCTATCTAATGTTCCATATACTCGCTGGACCATAGTAGTGACTCAAATAGGCTTCCCCCCACACCCAACACCCTCTCACTTAAATATTACTGTCTCCATTTTCATGCTGGTTATGTGGTGACTTCCAAATGGAAGTCACCAACCAATACTCATTTAAAAGCTCGTTAAATATGCTGCTGGCCATATGTGACTTTAATAGGCTACCCTTACTTATATACTCCATATACTGTGGCCATGTGTGACTCAAATAGGGTTCCCTTACTTGAATATGATGTTTTATATTTTAAATTTCGTTTGCTGTGTCCATTATGACTCTTATAGGTTACCAAACAGATAAATTTTAAGTTTTATTTACGGTGGTCACGTGTGACTTTAACAGGCTACCCTTACCTATATTTTAAGTTTTATATATACTGTACCCATTATGACTGTAACAGTATAGTATAGTCATGAATTAACTAATAAATACCCATAGGGTATTTAAAAGTCCAATTTATGAAAATAACGTTCTTAAGCCCCCCGATAATATTTATAGGGAAGAAAATTGTTTTGGCAATTTAGTGGTCATTAGCCTCGACGTGACCTCTTCCATCTTGTTGCCCGAAAATATCCGAATGAACCCAACATAATGGTTGTATCACACAACAGTTTGTGTTCACTATTGAACATAATGACCTCTGCACCGAACAGTATATCATCTGAACTGAACATAATGATAGTACCAAAAAACCACTGAACATAACGACCTTTGCACCGAACAACACATTGACTTGACTGAAGAAGATATAATCAGCACACAAGATAATGATAGTACCATTTAAGATAATGATTGTACCATTTAACAGTTCTATTTCACGACTGAACAGAAGGAATAAAGCACCCAACAGCATGTCATTGCAACTGAAAATAAAAAAAGTATCACCCAATAATACACTGCCTCAACCAAACAAAATGATAGTACCACTCAACTGTTTATTTTCATGGTTGAACATGATGAGAAGAGCACCAAACAGCATATTATTATAACCGAACATAATAACTGTAACACCCTACAACATATCTTTTTAACTCAACATAATTGTGTTTCCACATGCCTGTTTGTTTTAAGAACTGAACATAACGACTTATGCACCCGACAATACATTGACTTGACTGAATAAAATACAGTCAGCACACAACATAGCACTTCAATAACTGAGCACATTAGGATTTCCACCCAGCATTTTGTATCTCGGACTCAACAGAAAGACATTTAACTAGGTATATCATTCAATCTTAACATAAGACAGTCCAGGCGTTCCATAGATCCATGCTGAACGCAAACCCATTATGTTGGTTTTGTCATGACGCGGCTCAATTTTTATTCTAGTTAGGATGCTGTTGAATTTTCCTGTACTTTATTGATACAAGACATTAGCAAACTTGTATATCAAGTTACATTCTATTAAAATAATTTCACGTCTTCAGTTATTATGTTTATGCAGGTGAAGAAATCGTGTGTACATAAAAAAATAAAATAATGATAAACACCGCCTAGCGGGAGTCACACTCGATATTTTCTTACTCATCGGATGACACAAAGTAAGGAATACTCCAACAAAACATTAACAACAACATATTGTTATGAACTGGAACGGGAACGGAACATGATTTTTCCCGCAGTCAAGCTTATACACAGTACAGTCAAACTGGTAAATAAGGACCATCCAAAGAGAGAACATGCATGGCATTGAATGACAAAAGGTATTTATTAGGAACGACATTTTTCAATGAAGGTTTCAAAAAAGTGGTCTTAACTACTGGGTCTTCAATCGGAGTTTGTCTCTAACAAAGGTTTGACTGTATATCAATTCTGGAAAGTCACATGCATAGCTTATTTAAGTAAAATTTTACTTGTTTTCATCCGGTTATAACGTCTCCTCTCAAAAAACCTCTGAAAAATGTTTCCTTTCTTCTGTCTGTCTTGCCTTGTTTCATATGAAGGATAATTGAAACATTAACAGTTTAATCAAATCAGTTATAAGAATTTTGATACCTACTTTCCAAGACTTGAACCATTGTAATTGAATATGTGCTGTAAAATAGAAGAAGCCACTAAAATGTGCTGTATGATACAGTTACCATAAACATGTGTTGTATGATACAGTTACCATAAACATGTGCTGTATGATAACAGTTACCATAAACATGTGCTGTATGATAACAGTTACCATAAACGTGTGCTGTATGATACAGTTACCATAAACATGTGCTGTATGATACAGTTACCATAAACATGTGCTGTATGATACAGTTACCATAAACGTGTGCTGTATGATAACAGTTACCATAAATGTGTGCTGTATGAAAACAGTTATCATTAACATGTGCTGTATGATAACAGTTACCATAAACGTGTGCTGTATGATAACAGTTACCATAAACATGTGCTGTATGATAACAGTTACCATAAACGTGTGCTGTATGATAACAGTTACCATAAACGTGTGCTGTATGATAACAGTTACCATAAACGTGTGCTGTATGATAACAGTTACCATAAACATGTGCTGTATGATAACAGTTACCATAAACGTGTGCTGTATGATAACAGTTACCGTAAACGTGTGCTGTATGATAACAGTTACCATAAACGTGTGCTGTATAATAACAGTTACCATAAACATGTGCTGTATGATAACAGTTACCATAAACGTGTGCTGTATAATAACAGTTACCATAAACATGTGCTGTATGATAACAGTTACCATAAACGTGTGCTGTATGATAACAGTTACCATAAACATGTGCTGTATGATAACAGTTACCATAAATGTGTGCTGTATAATAATTGTAATCGCTTAAGTGTGTCGTAGATAACAGATACCATTAAGGTGTGCTATAGGTAACAGTTACCACTTAAGTGTGCAATATATCAACAGTGACCACTAAAATGTTCCGAAATTACTGACGTACAAGTATTCCGTTATGTTCGGCAGGCATTGTTACCGCCCAATGGGCGGGATTCCCTTGGTACGGATATTCCGATCTGAACCGCAACATATGACAGGTATTATTAATATATTATTCATCTGTTACCTTTCAAGTGAAAATGAAACCTTCAACGCTGTACTCATTTCCCTAATTGACAATTTAGTAAGTCAACACATTGATTAGTTGGCGAACTGCACTACGCAGTTTAGGTAGGTAGGTAGGTGGTCACTTTTCTTAACAACATTTCTCAAACGAAAAACATTGTTTGGGGATTAAATAGGGTATTTTGTCACTGTTTGAGGCCTCAAAAGGGGGACAATTAATGGAACTGTGACTTGTATTCACGTAAAATGAAACGTCACTTTAACATTAGACAAACAATACTTGTCAAATATTGTACATGTACATAAGAAGGGAGATATAAACGACTTAATCCCCATCTATAATGGTGTAATTTCATTTTTGGATATTGAAGGAAATATATATACTGGTACTGTCCAACAAAATTGATCTGGCACTTCATTTACTTTCGAAAAGATCATTGGATAAACACTGGTATCTAACGAATATATTAATATACTTGTACACGGGGAAGAATCACACCGTTCGTTACACTAACAAACAAGATGGCGGATGCAGCCGAAAAGTGAGTTTTTCCCTATTTTCTCTGAAATTCGTAATGTTCCAGTGTAAAAGTCTATATAACAACCTTCAAACACAATTTTCCGCGCACACAGGATTTTATTTCATGATGTTATGTCCCGTACTTCTTCTGGAATGCGCGTCCCAGGATTTGAAGCGAGAGAAACTTCCACCGGTTTGATCGTGATAACGTACGGCTTTTTCTCTCAATTTCACTGTTTCTTCTACTTAATATATGTAAATTTACTGAAACCACTGACTTTTAAAAGTTGTAATATGTCATAATCTAAGCATTCATGCCCATTCTGGCTAGAATAACCGCTCTAAATATTAATATCGGGGCATTTTCCGGAAATGATAACGTATGGCGCACAAATTATCAGTGATAACGTACGGCGCATTTTTCTACTTGGTGGATTTCATATATTTCAGTCAGTTTTCAATAGTGTTCTTTTGGAAAATGTTTTATACAAATACTAAAAACAGAATGTCATATGGTGTATCTTTAATTTCAGTCCTGCAATGAATCTTTGTAATGTGTGCGGAAAAAACTTTAAGAGAAGGCAAGACCTTAGACGCCACGAAAGAGGGCACGAAAGGAAAGGCCCATACCGTTGCTGTGGACGGGTTTTCAGGGAGAAAAATGAATATTCACAGCATAGGTAATTATTTTTATACTGTTTTCCTTCGAAAAATTAAAAGAACTAATGAAAAGTTGGAAATGTTGTTTTAAACATAATAAAAAGGTTTTAATGAACTACAGATATAACTGTTTGTAAAGATGATAGTGTCGTGATATATTTTCGTACTTAACCGATATTATAAAAAAGAGTGCCATCATGGCCCCGAGTCGCTCACCAGAAACAACTGCTTTTCAGTGTTGGAATGTCAATATATTCTCATATTAAACTTGAGCATAGAATATATTTAAACAATAATTTGAAGAAATGCCATGACCTGGGACATTTAAGCTTTAGGCATTTAAGCTTTAGCTTAAATTGGGCTAATCAAATTGATATGAGCAAACTTGATAAAAGACTACCTAAGAATGCTACAAAGTTTGGTGATCATCTATCAATTATTTCAGTAGGAAATGATGTTCGAAGGTTTTTTCTATTTTAAGCTTTAGTGGCCCCTAAAAGGGGCTAATCAAATAAATATAAGCAAACTTCAAAAAATAGTACCCAAGAATGCTACAGACAAAGTTTAGTGATCAACTATCAATTGGTTCTGAAGTAGGAGATGTTTAAAGGTTTTTCTATTTTTAGCTTTGCCGGCCCCTAAAAGGGGCCAATCAAATTATCGTGAGCAAACTTGATAAAACACTACCCAAGAATGCTACAGACAAAGTTTGGTGATCATCCATCAATTAGTACTGTAGAAAAAGACATTTAAAGGTATTTCTAATTTTAGCTTTTGCGGACCCTAAAAGGGGCCAATCAAAATAATATAGGCAAACTTGATAAATGAGTACCCAAGAATGCTACAGACAAAGTTTGGTGATCATCCATCAATTAGTTCTCTAGAAATAGGCATTTAACGGTATTTCTATTTTTAGCTTTAGTGGCCCCTAAAAAGGGCCAATCAAATTAATATGTGCAAACTTGATAAAACACTACCCGATAATGCTGTCGACAAAATTTGGTGATCCTGCTTCAATTAGTTCTGTAGGAAAAAATGTTTAAAGGTTTTTCTATTTTTAGCCCTAGAGACCCCTAAAAGGGGCCAATCAAAATAATTTTAGCAAACTTTATAAAAGACTACCCAACAATGCTACAGACAAAGTTTGGGGATCATCCATCAATTACTAGTAGTTCTCTAGAAAAAGACATTTAACGGTATTTCTATTTTTAGCTTTAGTGGTTCCTATAAGGGGCCAATCAAATTAATATGAGCAAACTTGATAAAACACTACCCAAGAATGCTACAGACAAAGTTTGGTGATCATCCATCGAATAGTTCTGTAGGAGAAGATGTTTAAAGGTTTTTCTATTTTTAGCCCTAGAGACCACTAAAAGGGGCCAATCAAAATTATATTAGCAAACTTGATAAAAGACTACCCAAGAATGCTACAGACAAAGTTTGGTGATAATCCATCAATTAGTTCTGTAGAAATAGACATTTAAAGGTTTTTCTATTTTTAGCTTTAGTGGCCCCTAGAAGGGGCCAATCAAATTAATATGAGCAAACTTGATAAAAGACTACCCAAGAATGCTACAGACAAAGTTTGGTGATCATCCATCCATTAGTTCTGTAGAAGAAGATGTTTAAAGGTTTTTTTCTATTTTTAGCCCTAGAGACCCCTAAAAGGGGCCAATCAAATTAATATGAGCAAACTTGATAAAAGACTACCCAAGAATGCTACAGACAAAGTTTGGTGATCATCCATCCATTAGTTCTGTAGAAGAAGATGTTTAAAGGTTTTTTTCTATTTTTAGCTCTGCTGACCCCTAAAAGGGGCCAATTGCAATGACATGAGCAAATTTAAGTGTGACTGTCACAAGGATGCTACAGACCAAATTTGAAGTAAATCTGCCCAGTAGTTTCAGAGAAGAAGACGATTGTTGACGCATGACGACGGACGACGGACGATGGACGCCGGAGCATCCCCCTTTGATACTAATAGCTCACCCTGAGCCTTCGGCTCTGGTGAGCTAAAAAGTTTAGTTATAAAGTTAAATTATTATGATTAAATGATTCGACATAAATGGGTGCAAACATGATGTATTCTGACCTGAATTGTAAATTCACCTCAAACTTTGCTCAAGAGTCACAAATAAAAACGTGTCGTTTTTCGTTTTGATTGTAGTGTTTCCCTGTATCTATATAATTTATGTATTTAATTTCATTATGTTTTAGATGCGACAAGCATGGGGCGCCAAGGATGTTTAGATGTCAGCACAGTGACTGCAAATCCAGCTTTGCTACCAATCATGCCTTGAAGAGACATGTAAACGAAGTACATCCCCTGGGGCCTAGAAGGTTTACTAATGGTTAATCACATTTGATAATTATTTAACACTAATTAAAGTAATTATGCATACGGTCAGAGATTTATGTAATAAAAAGGTGAAATCCCTTTATAACTTGTACATGTCACTCTTTTATGAATTTCCTAATAAACTGCATTTGTTATAGAGTGTTTAAATGTCAGAGATATTTCTGTAAAAAATCGGGCGGAAATTTGTAAATAAGCACTATACGTATACGCGTTTCTTCTTTTTTATAAGGGGATAAGACAATAATTATCACACCACACTGGCGAAATTTAATGTGAAAACAATACACAAATGTTTCCTGTGAAAACTGAGGCTTTTCTTTCCATTCTGAAGTTTATAACTGTACCTGTTTGTTTAATTATTGGTAAAAAGGTTAGTATATAAACAACGAATATCTGTCTTTTATGCCACCAACTAGAAACCGATGATGCAGCATGGTTCACTTATTCATTTCTGAACTGACAAACTTTTTTTTCAAATATCTATCATTTCCTACATACAAGTAATTCATTATCAGCTGACTGGGCAAATCGAAATCCACCAAGTAGAAAAATGCGCCGTACGTTATCACTGATAATTTGTGCGCCATACGTTATCTTCCGGAAAATGCCCCCGATATTAATATTTAGAGCGGTTGTTCTAGCCAGAATGGGCATGAATGCTTAGATGATGACATATTAC